CTTAGGTAGCTGGAACGTAGGGTCTCTGACAGGAAAGCTCCGGGAGCTAGTTGATGCAGCGGTGAGGAGAGGTGTTGATATCCTTTGCGTCCAAGAAACCAAATGGAGAGGACAGAAGGCGAAGGAGGTGGAGGATACCGGCTTCAAGCTATGGTACACAGGGACGGCTGCAAACAGAAATGGCGTAGGCATCTTGATCAACAAGAGCCTCAAGTATGGAGTGGTAGATGTCAAGAGACATGGGGACCGGATTATCCTGTTCAAGTTGGTAGTTGATGACTTGGTTCTCAATGTTATCAGCGCCTATGCCCCGCAAGTAGACCACAATGAGAACATCAAGAGGTAGTTCTGGGAAGGCGTGGAAGACATGGTTAGGAGTTTACCGATTGGTGAGAAACTCTTCATAGGAGGAGACCTCAATGGCCACGTGGGTACATCTAACACATGTTTTGAAGGGGCGCATGGGAGCTTTGGCTATGGCATCAGGAATCAAGGAGAAGATGTCTTAAGCTTTGCTCTAGCCTACAATATGATTGTAGCTAACACCCTCTTTAGAAAGAGAGAATCAGATTTGGTGACTTTTAGTAGTGGCCAACACTCTAACCAAATTGATTTCATCCTCTCGAGAAGAGAAGATAGGCGGCGTGCCTAGACTGTAAGGTGATACCTGCTTATGCTGGTTGCTGACTTCCGCTTTCGGATTCTTGTCCAGCGGGATAAGCGTGCCAAAGTCGCTAGAACGAAGTGGTGGAAGCTCAAGGGGGAGGTAGCTCAGGCGTTCAAGGAGAGGGTCATTAAGGAGGGCCCTTGGGAGAAAGAAGGGGATGCAGACAATGTGTGGATGAAGATGGCGACTTGCATTCGTAAGGTGGCCTCGGAGGAGTTTGGAGTGTCCAAGGGAAGGAGAAGCGAAGTAAGGATACCTGGTGGTGGAATGATGATGTCCAAAAGGCGATTAAAGAGAAGAAAGATTGCTTCAGACGCCTATACCTGGATAGGAGTGCAGACAACATAAAAAAGTACAAGATGGCGAAGAAGGCCGCAAAGCGAGTTGTTGGTGAAGCAAGGGGTCGGGCGTATGAGGACCTCTACCAATGGTTAGGCACGAAGGAAGGCGAAAGGTACATCTATAAGATGGCCAAGATCCGAGAGAGGAAGACGAGGGATATTGGCCAAGTCAAATGCATCAAGGACGGAGCAGGCCAACTCTTGGTGAAGGACGAGGAGATTAAGCATAGATGGCGGGTGTACTTCAACAAGTTGTTCAATGGGGGGGAATGAGAGTTCTACCATTGAATTGGACGACTCCTTTGATGAGACCAGCATGCGTTTTGTGCGGCGAATCCAGGAGTCTGAGGTCAAGGAGGCTTTAAAAAGGATGAAAGGAGGCAAGGCGATGGGCTCGGATTGTATCCCTATTGAGGTGTGGAAAGGTCTCGGGGATATAGCGATAGTATGGCTAACCAAGCTTTTCAACCTCATTTTTCGGGCAAACAAGATGCCAGAAGAATGGAGACGAGTATATTAGTACCAATCTTCAAGAACAAGGGAGATGTTCAGAGTTATACTAATTACCATGGAATTAAGCTGATGAGCCATACAATGAAGCTATGGGAGAGAGTCATTGATCACCGCTTAAGAAGAATGACAAGCGTGACCAAAAATCAGTTTGGTTTCATGCCTGGGAGGTCGACAATGGAAGCCATTTTCTTGGTACAACAACTTATGGAGAGATATAGGGAGCAAAAGAAGGACTTGCATATGGTGTTTATTGACTTGGAGAAGGCCTATGATAAGATACCGCGAAATGTCATGTGGTGGGCCTTGGAGAAACACAAAGTCCCAGCAAAGTACATTACCCTCATCAAGGACATGTACGATAATGTTGTGACAAGTGTTCGAACAAGTGATGTCGACACTGATGACTTCCCGATTAAGATAGGACTGCATCGAGGTCAGCTTTGAGCCCTTATCTTTTTTGCATTGGTGATGGATTAGGTCACAAGGGATATACAAGGAGACATCACATGGTGTATGCTCTTTGCGGATGATGTGGTGCTAGTTGACGATAGTCGGACGGGGGTAAATAGGAAGTTAGAGTTATGGAGACAAACCTTGGAATCGAAAGGGTTTAGGCTTAGTAGGACTAAAACCGAGTACATGATGTGCGGTTTCAGTACTACTAGGTGTGAGGAGGAGGTTAGCCTTGATGGCCAGGTGGTACCTCAGAAGGACACCTTTCGGTATTTGGGGTCAATACTGCAGGAGGATGGGGGTATTGATGAAGATGTGAACCATCGAATCAAAGCCGGATGGATGAAGTGGCGCCAAGCTTCTCACATTCTCTGTGACAAGAGAGTGCCACAAAATCTAAAAGACAAGTTCTACAGGACGGCGGTTCGACCCGCAATGTTGTATGGCGCTGAGTGTTGGCCGACTAAAAGGCGACATGTTCAACAGTTAGGTGTGGCGGAGATGCGTATTTTGAGATGGGTGTGTGACTACACAAGGAAGTCCAGAGTGATGATATACGAGATAGAGTTGGAGTAGCACCAATTGAAGAGAAGCTTGTCCAACATCGTCTGAGATGGTTTGGGCATATTCAGCGCAGGCCTCAAGAAGCTCCAGTGCATAGCGGACGGCTAAAGCGTGCGAAGAATGTAAGAGAGGGCGGGGTAAACCGAATTTGACATGGAAGGAGACCGTTAAGAGAGACCTGAAGGATTGGAGTATCACCAAAAAGCTAGCTATGAACAGGGATGCGTGGAAGCTTGCTATCCATGTGCCAGAGCCATGAGTTGGTTGCGAGATCTTATGGGTTTCACCTCTAGCCTATCTCAACTTGTTTGGGACTAAAGACTTTGTTGTTGTTGCTACTGTTGTTGTTATTCAAAATGTGTATTTAGACAATAGGTGCATATGCACCTAGGAGCCAAAATATTCTTGAATGTCTATCTGTAGGACAATTTGTTGTTAGACCCACAAGAGCCACGTTGATTTACAGCAAGGACCTAGGAAGATGAATTAGAACCTTTACATGAACGAGCGTGCTCAAAATACTTTCTTTTCATGAAAACGGAATCTTGATATGAAATGCATCAGTCTGAGTTCACTTTGATGGCAAATTTAGCATCCAGAACTTCAAGAGTACAGAACTAGGAGCATCGTTCAAGAGTACAGAACTAGGAGCATCGTTCAAGAGTACAGAACTAAGAGCATCGACCGCCATGCATTTCAGTCCTACTGAGGCACAGCATTTTATGTTCCCTGCCGAACCTACACACTACAAACGGGTTGATGCAACCACTTCATATTTGAACAGAACATATTTGAACGCAGCAGGATCAACCAAGCAAATATAGCATTTCAGCTTCAGAACGATCTCACAGGAGCATTCCGACCCCACAGAAAATTAGAATCTACAGTAGACAGAGCGACTCAAGCTCCCTGAAATCGATTCAATTCTTGTCTCCGATTTCGAACTCAAGGGGAGAGTCAGATGATTTGAGTCACACCAAAACAAAGAACAAAACGAAGCCCCAGACTTTGTTTCGGAACAAACAAAATAAGTGCTCTTCAGACTGTTCATGCAGAAGCTAAGAGCATGAATTGTGGAATTGACCAATACTACGTTTGAAAGAAGTCAGGATTGTGCAAGTACCCCGACAAAACAGAATATTTGAGAACACATGAACACACACTTGGTAAACAAAAATATCATCAAGAACAAAAAGGGAGGGGGATATCCAAGGTTTGTGGAAATATATAGAAAACTTACAATACTCAAGAACAGAAGATGCAATAACTAAAACAATAAGAACTGTTCAATTTGGCTTCAGGGGTCGCAAAATGGTAGCATGGACACATGGCAACCAATCAGTCCCGAAAGATGGTATCATGAACATGTTCTTCATCACCGGGCAAACATGAACAAATACACAAACATGAAACACGCCTTGATTTTTATCATCATTTGCGATGCAGGAGCATATTTGACATACTATGTTTTCGAGTGCTGAAGCTCATTGAGAAACACAATGTTGACCAGGAAAAATAACAAGGCTCAGACATCCAAGGAAGGAATCAACTCTCAAGCCTGGCGAGGCACAAGCTCTTAGGCAGCAACTGCGAATGTTTTGAGAAACAAGCCTTAAATTTAGCATAATTGCCATAATTCTCCCAGTAGCAAATCACAACTCACAATAATAGGTCCATGGACTAAACTGGAATGAAGTAGCAGGTTCCTATCCGTGAAAACTGATTCTTGGTTCAATAATAGATTCCCTGGCTGGTAGCTACCAGAGAATAACCATTTGAGCAAGCTAAGTAAATACACACACTGAAATGGGGATTCAAACACAAAAGTAAACACTTGCAGCTAAACTTCAAAATCTGACAAAATAAAGGGGGGCCAACGATATGCACTGAGCACAGTGTGGAAACATTTAGTATCATCAGAAATTAAAGACTTCTCATTCACAGGATAAGATTATCACCTGATACTTTAACACAGAAAAAGAGAATGTGTCCTCGGGTTATTTAAGGTTTCATGACCTGATACTGAATACATACAATTAAATTAAACAAGAAAAAGAGAAGATATGTTCCTGTAAACATGGCAAAAGAAGCAGATACTCAGTACCTCCTCAGAAGCAAAACAAAGATGGGGCTGATAAAAACTAGAAGAGGCAACCAATTCAACCGGAAGGTAAAATGTGCATAGGCAGATTAGTTCAAAGTTCACTTATTCATACTTGACCGTACTGCTATAGCAGCAACTGTTTAAACGAAACCAACACATCTCACAACTGTTTAAACGAAACCAACACATCTCACAACTGTTTAAACGAAACCAACACATCTCACAACTGTTTAAACGAAACCAACACATCTCACAGGGACTCGATGGTCCATGAAACCAGACACGGTAGGACTTGACACAAACGAGACTTAACACTTCACACGAGCGACAGGGGCACCCACCAGAGTACTCAGGGCATTTACTGACCACCGCGGAGGCGGAGCACCAGGTGGAGAGTGGATTCCTTCTGGATGTTGTAGTCAGCGAGGGTGCGACCATCCTCCAGCTGCTTGCCGGCAAAGATGAGACGCTGCTGGTCCGGGGGAATGCCCTCCTTGTCCTGGATCTTGGCCTTGACGTTGTCGATGGTGTCTGAGCTCTCAACCTCCAGAGTGATGGTCTTGCCGGTAAGGGTCTTCACAAAGATCTGCATACCACCTCGGAGACGCAGGACAAGGTGAAGGGTGGACTCCTTCTGGATGTTGTAGTCAGCAAGGGTCCTGCCATCCTCCAGCTGCTTACCAGCAAAGATGAGGCGCTGCTGGTCCGGCGGGATGCCCTCCTTGTCCTGGATCTTG